ACTCTGCTCCTCCTGCCGACAGCGAGCACCCCGGGCTGCACTCTGCTACTCTGCTCCTCGGCAGAGGAAGTGCAGAGCTGCTCTGCCGTTCATCTCCCTGACCCAGTTCGTAGGAAACGCTGCTCGCACTGGCACGGTCTCGTTTGACAGAAGGCATGTCAGCAAGGGCTTGTGCTCAGTCTCACTCCACTGGCCACCACAGGAGTGAGTACCAAAGCCATTATTGTCCTGGTAACTGCTGTTCTTGCTGTAGTGCTTAATGCTCGATTTTTTAGGGGGGGGGGGGGGGGGGAATCTATTTTCCTTGTACGCAGCAAATACCAAAGGGAAATTCCCAACCAAGATTATTAGGCAGCCTTGTAGCTGGCAGCTGACAGCCAGAAACACAGCTGAACGTTTTATTGGCTGCACAGGAAGGAGATCTGAATTGCAACACTAAGTTCAAACGAGTTTTCTTTGAAAGGCACTATTTCCCTGACATTCTCTTACAGAGAGTCTCATCCTATGGAAATATTTAGGAACAGCTATTCAATTTAAAAATCAAGGTAAGTACTTGGCCTATTTTTGATCCCATCAGCTGACCTGCCACAGTAACATCCTTCCTGCCACTCCAACTGCTTGAAAAGAAGCAAAAAGCTGCAGGCACCTTCCTCCTCAGATGAATCCTGGTGTTAAATGTAATACTTTCACCTGCTCTTTCATGGTTTTAGAACTGTCCATGTAGTCCTTCCAGGAAAGTGTGGATGTGTCAGGTGGGCATGGCTGGAAATGGTCACTGCCCGTTCCTGTCAGGAATTCTGATGCCTGTGATGCAGAGAACTGCCCAGGATGGCACATACCCACACAGGGTATTTTGTCTGCTGGCTCTACACTTATTTCTTGCCACTTGGTACAACGGGACACAAACTGCAGAATGTCTGGGATCTGTAAAAAACCTTCAATGGACAGTGCCAGCTTTCACCAAGCCCCCGCTGCTTTGTTCTTAATTTTCCCCTCCAAACACTCTCATTTTGGGGTTACTTACGGTTTTCTCAGAAAATTCCCTGAAGGTCGATGGGGGATTTTGGTCACCTCGGAGCAGACGCTGCAGCAGGGAAGAAATCTTCAAGAATTGTTGTGGAATTTTCGGTTCTTTATTCACGTTACAGAGGGATTTCCCCTTCTTTCCACTCCTGTGGAACAAGAAGTAACTTTTAGCCTGCTGTGTTTGTGGGACCTTTAGGAATTCCTAGCAATACTTAAAAAGGCTCAGCCCCTCAGTGCCTTTACTCTTCCCTTTATTTCCCCAGCTATTCCTATAGCCTTGCTTTGATGGGGAGCAAACACAGGACAAGGAAGGTGACTCTCCTTGTCATCAGCTTGCAGTTTTCGCTAGACACTGTCCTATCAAGTCAGCCCATAATCAGAAAATTCAGGCTTTGACTGTGCTTTCATAACCCTGCTGTGGATCCCAAGCATCCACATTTGGTCTGTGTTTTTCCCCTTTTCTGATGTCTCATCAGGCAAAGGCCTATCAACACAGCAGGAAGCAAAACCACCAGCAGCAGCAGCGTCACCTCCTTTCTTGGGAGGAGAGGAAGAGAAAACCACTGTGTCTTGCAGCAGCTAAGAAGGGCAGGGTGCTGGTAATTTATTCCCCAAACAGCCCCTGGCTCACTGAGGGCAGGGCTGACCAGAAATCTTTTGACCAGCTCAGCCAAGGTAAGTGGGGCTGTGCAGTTACACCTCCCTGCCCTCCGCAGGTTTAAGGCATCGCTCGGTGTTCCAGTGGTTCTTTTTCAGATTTTATTTTGCAACAACAGGCACAGGAAATGATGCCAGGAGCAAAACGAGTTCCCCGAGAAGATGAAGTAACCCTGTGATTTGCAGATCTGGGGTCTGGGCACAGATCACTGAACATTTCCATGTCTTCTGTGTAGGGTCTTCGTGGAACCAAAGGAGGTGCAAGAGAAAGGAGCTGGGGATGCTTCACCTGTCCAAGAACAAACACTGCTCTTCAAACAACAAGGGTGATCTCTAAATCCCTTTCCTCAGAAGGAGTAGGCTACACACTGTAATAAACACTGACAGTGCTGTTCTAGAGAATGAGATGGGAAACAGAAGTCCTGTTCTCTGTGCATTTTTTCAAATTATAAAAAGGGTCATTTTTTTAGTTCCAAAATATTCCCGAATATGCATTCTTAGAATAGTTAAACCCATTAAAATTTAATTTAATAATAGTGTTTCTTCTCTGTTTCTGGGTCAGTTCTCAACTTCCTCAGCTGGTGCTGAATTGGAGTAACAAAGTTCTGGGATTAACCACTGTAAATGTAGTCATCAAACTTTCTTTTAGGTGCCTTCCCAGGTAGAAAGTGCTAAACCAATGCAGCCAAATATATCACAAACTACAGGTTATAGTGGTGTTGCCCCACCACCTGAATTAGAGCTGTGACCTCTAAGTATTTCCTAGATCAGTGCTCCTGAGGACTCCCAACAGCCATGCCAAAAATGGAAACCTTCCCTATTCAGCTTGGGATCAGAGGAATAACTCAAAAGACAAATATTTCAATGCCTTCCAAGGGTTGTCTGTCAAAGAAGGATTCAGCCATCAAAGGCTGACACCTTCCTGTCCAGGGGTGAGCTGTCTCACCTCTCTGAGGTGGCTGCAGTCCAGTTCCTTCTGGCTCTGATGCCTCTGCAAACGTCGGCCCTGGCAGCGACTCGGCCTGATCCAAGTCCGTGTGTCCCTGAAAATGAGGTAAATGCTCTTACACTTGGTGGGGCAGAGTGGAAATCACAGAAACTTTGGGGCTTCTTCACAGGTTTTCAGGCCTCTCAGTCCTGAAAAAAAAAAAAAAAAAAACAACAAAAAAACCCCAAACAAACCAAAACCGAAAATAAAACTCCCCAGACTGTTTCTGGAGAGCTTTTTTTCTGAAATTTTACCTTGTACTGATATTTCCGGTTCAAATAAGGAACCGTAAATCATCTGAGACCAAACAGATGACGAGGCATTTCATAAAGACATTATGCAGGATTTATCTCAAATAGCTTCTGCAGGAAAGGTGCTCGACAGCCGTGCAGGCCAACTGGAGGATGAGGATGGGAGTGCAAAACCACCTGAAACTCTTTAATCCCGTTTTTAACGTTATGGAATCTCAGTATAAAACGTTTTTGTTTTTTTTTTTTTTCCGTGAGCCAGCTGGTGTTAGGAACACGTGACTACTACGTGGGCTATCAACCTCTTCCAGCCAGTCTCCAATTCCTAGAAATTGCTTTATGCCCAAGTCATTACTGCCTAATTAGAGCCCACAAGGGAAGTTCCATGGCACTGTGGGCACAATTGCATGTTTGGGGACTCCTGCCAGACACAGGGACTGTAAGTGCTTGCTTGGTCAGGCTCGTACAAAAATGCTTTTGTAGCTGCCTTCAAGGGCTGGGAGTTTATTGGCAGTTATTTCACCCATGGATCACCAGGTTCTTATTCAGAACCAAGACTGCAGAGTTTTCCTTTGCCCTTCCTTATTTCTTTTGTTTTGAGTTCACTCAAAAGGTCTGGTTTTGGGGGGGGGGGGTGGGTGAAGACCTGGTTTGGGCTGAAAAAGTCTTAATTGCGAGAATCAAAACAGTCGTGTAACTATGAAACATTGTTTTAAAAAAAATCCTTGGAATACAAATGACATCCTAATATTTCAAGGTCCATACTTTATTTTTCTAATCTAATTTTAGACCTTCTTCATGGGGAAAAAAGGTCATGATTGGAATTTTTTTCCCAGTCTTGGACCATTAGGACAAATATTATATTTGTATTTGGGTTAAGAAAAAACTAATCTGTTTAGGTGTTGCTTGATGTTTTTCAAAAGGACTTAATTTCAGTCATTTTTATTGCAATGTTTTGTGGGTTGTTTTTTTTTTTTTGGTGTTTTTTTTTTTCTTATTGTGTGTGCAAAACTAAAGGTATTGGGAAAAAATGCTGCTGCAGTTTAATTTATGCTACACAGAATCGAAGCTGGATTTAGTTGGAGACTTTTTGAGGTGCTTTGTCAATAAACTATATAATGTATTAAGCAGATACGGCCCTGTGTGCTAATGCAGGATTGGAGGTTGGAAGCACAAGTGGCAAGAAGTGGCTCAGGGAAGGGACAATGGCTCAGGCCAGCAAACTGCTTGTCATCCTCTGCTTCCCTGAGAAACCCATCCAGAAAGCTGGATTTTGCTTTAATGTAGGTGTCTGGATTTTACCTCCTGAGGGGGAAACCTGTCCTGCTTCTGGATTCCACCTCCTGA